CTTTAAGACAGTTTGAGTTGTTGTGTTGGTGCTCTTTACCATAGATATGGTTTTAAATATATGCTAACTAGCTTATTAGCATCGCCATTCACCGTGACGTAGCATTTTTCCCATTGAAATTAATGGGGTTCTTCAGTTAGCAGCTAACGCTAAGCTAAGCGACGGTTTAGCTCATTAGATAAATAGATATACTTTATTTAAATCATTATTTATCTTAAACTGGGAAATGATTGTGTCACAGCAGAAGTGTTTTCAGGCATTACACGAGTTAAACATATTTAAAAGATGCAATAAGATATAATAAAAATGAAGCATTAGCAGCAAGTTTACACACAGGACACATATCACTAGAGTATCTAAATAATACACAATATACAGAAAATACTGTATACATGGAGTACATTAAACAGTCTCCCTAGCTAATGTTTGCTTTCTTAGTGATAGTTAATGACACAGATAGCGTTATAACCGTGGTTCAAACAATCATTAATGTCACTTTCTATGTGAATAAAGTCATTTTAATGAAATAAAAGTGAACAAACTGTGAGCTGTAAGTTAGAATGTAAGTTGCTACACAGATTATGATGAATTATATCTAAATATTTGTATTATATTAATAATAATTGGTTTCTGTTAGGTAACTGTGAGTTTCTCCTCTTCAGTGAAGCAGCTTTATTACTGTCTCCTATTGTCGCAGACAAAGTAGCATTACATGGAAATACTCAAGTAAAGTAAAAGTACCTCTAAATAGTACTGAAGTACAGTACTTAGCCGCGTTCACACCAAGTACTTTCCTGTACTTAGTTCCGGCACTAAGAGCCCCGGCGCTTTTAACCCCAGGGCACTTAGTACAGATCGCGTTCACACCGGAGTACTTTTCCCTGAGGGAAGATTACGCAAATGAGCCGCTGACGTCACTTCTTCTTCTTCTGCTTTGGCTTTACTGGCAGGCCACAAACCACTTCACGGCGAGTACAGTAGGTAGCGGTATGCACCTTAAAGTTGTTTGCAATCCGCTACAAAACAAGAGAAGAAGAAGAAGAAAAACTTCCCGCGTATACTGCGACGCCCACCCACTCGCTGTACATTAGGCGTCTGTTGTTTACCTTCCGACCTCAGACATGATGGAGATGGAGTCGACTGAAGTTGTGCTGTTTGTGCTCATGTTATACAGCTTTGTAACTGAGTTAATGCAGCCTGAGCAACTTGTGTACAATAACAAAACAAGCCGAGCACGAGTGGTGGTGGAGAACGCTTTTGGCAGACTGAAGGGCAGGTGGCGGTGCTTGATGAAAAGAAACGACTACAAGATCACAATCCAGGTGGCAGCATGTTGCATATTACATAACCTTTGTGAAAGTAATGAGTACAGGGACGAATGGACTGCCTTACCGGCGACCCAGCTTTATGAGGCATCTGAACAGCGTGTCAATTGTAAACATTTTGACAATGTTTCTCTTTTATTTTCCAGTCAAGACAGGCAACATTACAATAGTGTACAGTGTGGCAATATAATAACAATAAACTGTGCCAGGTGTGTTGTATGCACAGTAAATAGGCTCAGCAGCAAACCCACCGTTATTAGTATATATATATATCTTCCTGAGACCCACTGCATCCGTCTGCCATAGACACTATGGAAACATAAATGTTAGTTTCGGCCCATAGTGGACTCCATTTTGTGTTGTGTAAAATGGGGGGGGGGGGAATTAAAGGTTTGCAAATCCCCATGTCCTCCTCAGAGGACAATCATAAAAACATTTAGTTTTAGGTCAAATAATATTTAAAATTATATAAATGATCATATTTCTGTATGTGCCCCTGCCATTCCTCCACAAGGTTGCAACATTGATGATAAATAAATGACAAATAAAGCTTTGCCAGTTTATAACCGATGAAACATGATGGTATCAGAATAATCACTTACATGTGATGTATAGGATGCTACGGTCACTAAAGATAAAGTGTCAGGAGAAATAAGCAAGCTACAGGATCTGTTTAACAGTAAATAGAAGTTCACATTTTTAATGTAAATAAAATAGAAGTTGTACATGTAAATTAACATTATCAATATAAAATAAAGTGTCTGTTGTATCAAGACTATATAATAACAGTAATAACAATAATATAAAATGAACTGGTGAGCATCTTGTCCTCCGTTTCCTGGGCCTTGGTGAACAGCACCATCTGATCCCCGTGCATCGACTCTTTCACCACGGCACGCCGGTCCTTCAACGCCTGGACGGTGTCAAAGAAATTCGCATCCCGTGTCCGCTTTCCTAAGAGGGGAAAATAAGCAAGATACAAGATCTGTTTAGTCGCCATGTAGTTTTACAACATACTAGGAATGTGTTTTTTGTATTTTCACAAATAGAATTAAGGTTTCACAAATCTGAAACTGTGTTATAAATAATCTTTTGACTCTGGGATAATCCAGTCCAGATTTGATGAGTCTAGGTATAGTGGTTTTAGATCAGGACCTGGTCTAATGTGGTCTACATGTAAAAAAAAGCACTGAAATCTCCCTTTTTTGTATTTTTACAAATAGAATTAAGGTTTCACAAATCTCAAACTGTGTTCAGGGTGCGTACGGGTGCTGGAAATCCTTGAAAATGCTTCAAATTGTACGAGGTGTTTTCAAGGTTTGAAAAGTGCTTGAATTTTGGGAATGGTGCTTGAATTTGGGATAAAGTGCTTGAAATTGTAAATGCTTTACTTCGCTTTTTAGATTAAAAGAAAATAAAGAAGTCGGAGCACGCTTAATTGCTTCGCTTTTACATAAAACAGCTCCGCTTTGGCCTTCCTGCGCAATGCGCGTGACCGGCAAGTGTTTTTGTTACGTGTGTGACCTGGGCATTCTGATGAGAGTGATAGATGACAGTATGTCAGGAGGTTGCCGTTTCAACGAGCGTTGGCTAGCAGAAGACAAATACAAGCCATGGCTAAAACGAGGGTCAAGCGAAGCCCAAGAGTAGCCTCCTGCAAAGTGTGCAACAATAACGATGCGAGAGTCTGCGCTGACGAGCCACACACCACACGAAAGGTACGCCATCGTAGAGCATTTTAGATTAGGCTATCGTTGCATGTAAAATACATGACACTTTTCTCTGTGCGCGGCAAAACAAGCTCGCCAAAATGGCTTCACTAGTCTGGCAGTATTTTAAGTGTCCGAAAATGACAATAAAATAGCGGTATGCAACGTGTGTGTGAAGCAGAAATCCTGCAGCTCCACCCGCTGTGACGGACCGGTGAGCGGAGCAGAACACACATTAAGAGTTAGACCTAACACACTTAGCTATTTTATCTACCTCTGGAACAAGCTAAACTAGTTATAAATATATTTATTCTTCACTGTCGGGTCGCTCATTACTGGATCAGTGAGCTGCAGGAGATACTGACGGGCTGTCAAGAGAGAGAGAGAGGGGGAGAGAGGAAAAGAGAGCGATATCGGTATCGGCCGATACTGATTCCGGCGATCGGCTCCAAAATTGGCGATCGGAGCATCCCTAATAATTGTATATGATATGTTTTATAATGATTGATCATGAAAGTGTTATCAAAGCTGGTAAAGGTGCAGCTAGTTTGAATGACTTTGTATACTACAGAGTAGCTTGTGAATTTACTCCAGGTGGAAGTCTGATTTAACACTTGATTATATTTCACATCATTCATCCACATCTGTGAAGTAACTAAAGGTATTAAATACATGTAGTGGAGTCAAAGTACACCATTTACCTCTGACTTGTGTTTACTGCCAACCTAAAAGTACCTCAAAAATAGTAATCAATAATATATTGAAAAGTTATTTGGCTGATTGTTTTATATTGGCTCAGCCAGGTTATATGGGATGCCCAGTCTACGTACAGATGGGTCACACATTTTGAAATATTAAACTTAGTTTTCTTTTCTAACATTTTTTATTTGTCATCCTCATGTAGAATGCTATTATGAAACACACATTTGGTTGTTTATAGCATAAAGAACATCTGATTTAATGTGAGGTAGGGAAATAATCATTTGAGTATAAGTATGTGTATATAAATATGTAATTTACAACAGCTGTAAGATGCTTGAAAATGCACCTTGAAAATGCTTGAAAAGTGCTTGAATTTGACTTTGGAAAAAGTGTAAGAACCCTGTGTGTTATAAAGAATGTTTAGCCTCTCTGGGATAATCCAGTCCAAATAAATCGGCTATGCAGCGATTTAAGAGGTTCAAACACGGAGGATTGTGCTTCATGTATGCTTGAATTTTGTTTAATGTTGTTGAGGCAAGTTTTCGTACCGGAAGTCATGTGACCTCTAGCCCTGATGTTTACAATGTTTGTGTGAGACATTTGTAAATGCCGGTCTAGGCGAATACGTTTTCACGCTGTTTCATAATTGTACCAAGAAGGAAATAAACATGATTGTGAACATCAGTTCGATGCGTAACGTTCTTTCAAGACAAAGTTACAGTGTGTGTACCTTTGCGTTTGGTTGCTGGTAAGGGGGGCGAGCTGGCGCTGTGATCTAGAATGCAAAGCTCGCTTGTTTCCAATCCCGAGAGTTGTCCATCCTCGCGTGAAACAGACGATTAGTGCCATGAGTTAGTGAAGCAAATTACAGAAACACTACACAGTTATTCACAAGTCAAAACGTTTTCATACGGCCGAGAATATCTAGCTAGCTAGATGTAGCTAGCTCGGGGCCGGTGTTAGCCTATCTAGCCTAGCATGGCTAGCTTGATCTACTGAGCAAATAAAAGTACATCTGAGACCATTATTGTGCAGATTAAAACCCCAGTGCATGTGTTATGTCAAGTCTTGGACCTTCTCAATATAACTATAATTTAATTACAGTTTCCAGATATTGGAAGAGGCCCATGAGTCTCTTTGCTAATTATCAATGGTCTTTGCAATTAACAGCAGATGTACCTATGTTAAGTAAATTGGCAAAGGTCAGAGGAACTCCAAGAGAGGTCTTCCTCAGATATAATACAGTTAAAGTCTTGTTAGTTAGTGGTTCATATCCAGCATGCATTAGCTAAGAAACGATAAGGATGTTGGTGTGTTAGTTAATGTAAAGAAATGTATGTGTGCTCATGTGCAGACGATATATATAGTTTGTTAATTGGATAATTCATATCCTGCAAGGCTCCTAAAGACTTCATGAGATAATGACCTTTTGACATCTGGAACTTACATGTTGCTCTGATGTTGGTGCGTTCAAGTTTAGGAGAACTGACAATGTGTGTGCGTTAAACATGATTAGGGAACATGTTCGTGTGTCATTTAGAAAACCTATATAAACCCTGTGTTTTCTTGTGTTCGGGGGACCATTTCTGCGATTGGTTGCTCTTGAAGCAAGGTAATGTTTCCCCATTGTTGTTTGGTGGTGCGCAACTAAATAATAATGATTAATCTCAACTATTCCTGTGTTTGTGTTTCATTGATTCCTCTCTGTTTCATTCTTTCATGTTGTGTGAGTACTTGGATCGCCACAACATTTTGGAGGTCCCACCGAGATTGCCAATGCTGGAAGTTGCTGTGTTCCTTCTCTGGGGGTCTCAACTCCCCTTAGCCAGGCAGCCCTGAGATGGCTGTGGTAAACTCAAAGAATTGAGAAACCAGACTTGGGACTTCCACAGAAGAAATACCAACTCACAGTAAGCAAAACGTATTTGGAATTAAATGACTTTTGAAGTTGTATTGGTTAAAATGAAAATGCAGAGGAGTGGATTTGAGATATTTGCACAGTTATGGTTGAGATCTGTTCATTGTTTGTTTGTTGATTGTTTGTTTTGTTTGTTGGACTTGTTTTATGTTGATAAATGTTGATACTGGAGAGATCACTGTATTCTGCTCGTAATCTGCCTGAGAAGCTAAGGGTTTGATTGAGGGGATATGATCTTTGCTAGCCGTAAGGACATGTTATGCTGGAGGAATCACTGTATTTGCTCGTAGTCTTGAATTCTGCCTGAGAAGATCCTGATGATTTGTCTTAAGGTTCAGAGATTTATTGGCTGAGGAATACAAATTTGCTTTGCGAGCCAAGTGCACAAAAACAGGGTGGAGGGTCATGCCTGTTCCGGTCCGTTCGGTAATTAAGAGATTAATAAGCCCGATCTGAGTCGAGGGGGTCTGCTCGCGACTCTGTGAATTCACTGAATACAAAAGTGGAGGAAACCATGTTTTGTCAGGCCGTAATGAGTTAGAGACTCAGTATAAAGCGCTAAATGTTTTGGTATACCATAGTTTTAATTTCTTATTGGTCAAAGAAGCTGCAGTTTGAAATATGTCCCCCCTTCTCCTGATTCTGCTCTAATTGTCGAGCAGCAGCTCGGAGTGTGTCTGCTTGTTTTTTTTTTCTAATGCCTGAAAGAAGGCTGCATTGTGTTTCTCTGTTTAAAACAAGGAGTGAAAGATCAACGAGTGATCTGAAGTTGGAGTGAATACATTGAAAATTAATAGATCAATGTGTGATTTGAAGTAGTAGATATATTGAAATAAATAAGAAACAATGATTTGTTGCTATTTAAACATAGTCTTTGGGAACTGATTGTTACCATTGCATTGCATTGTGAATTTCATGGTATTTGTCATTTGACTAAGAATTGTACTTAATTATATTTCAAAGGAACTTAATTACATACAGTAACGTTAAGGCAAAGTAAGAAGAGGTTTACTGAGTATATGAAGTACATTAAGGTAAAGGTTTTATTCAAATTAAATATAAGAGTGGATTTGTCCACCTAGTACAAGACATAGAAAGAGGAGAATTTGTTAAACATTAAATAACAAACTCACTGTAAGAAATATATATTGTAATATTATTTAGAAGTTGTATTTATCATACAACAGTGACTCTCATTTGATGGTTGTTTAAAGTAGATAGGAAACTGAAAACGCAAACGATTCACCACAATTGTATTTTTAAGTTTATGAAGAAAGAGTAGTAAGTAGTAAACAGGAGATTTTTATAAGTTTGTCAGTCAGAAGGAAGCTGTTAATGTTTAAGTATGACAGAGGCTCTGTACGATGCTTGCTCAAGCCATCTCAATGTTGGATAACACAAGAGGTCAAGTGTGATTGATGAGAGAAGCTTGTGGACAGGAGCAGCTGCAGGGCGCAGTGAGGAAAGAGAGAGACAGGAGAATTAAGATGTTTTGAAGAGTCTAGAGTAAATGTTATATAAAGTTAACTACTATTCTGGAAAATGTTCCTATGGTTTACTGTTTTATGAGTAACATAAAATAAAATATAAATATATATATATTACTAGATATAAGCATAAGAACAACATGCTTATCTAGGTTAACAGAGAATTGCTATTAACCAGTTTCAGCTGCAACTATCCTATCTTTGTTCTAAAAAGAACATACGTTGCATGTACAATTAATGTTAAGAAAGTTCACAATTGATATCACTAAAGACCGTTTTGGATTAATGGATTGTTCTTTAGGGCCCAGAGATATTTATTCTTGGAATATATGGCGTGTCTGTCATAAACATTCATGCTTAGATGGAATAAAGTGTTGAGATGTTGAGATGCTTTTTTGTTTTTATTGAAACAATTAAGTGATAAGGAAAGAAAACTGTTCCGTGATGATTTCTTTAGGCTTTAGCTTTAGTAATGAAGATTGCATTTTGTGAGGAAACCACCAATAATTCCTTTACTGTTAAGTGTTCCAAAAATATATTCATTAACTGTAATCAGATTACTTGGGTTTTTCAAATATAGCGCGGATTGAATACAGTTACTTGATGTTTTGTATTATTACAACCTAACCATGCTTGTAACACAACTTAGATAAACAATTAGAAAATGAATAGAATAAGCAAGTAGATAAAAGATGAATCTATAGTGTTTAAATGAAGGTAAAGTAAAAGTAAAGAAGTAAAGGAGAATGGTGTTTTATGAAAACTGTCATTCCTCATGGTTTTTAAAGATAAATCATCAGTTTTATGGACTTTGATGTTGAAATGGATCATGGTGGAGAATGAAGACCTTTTTGGTTTCGAATTTAAGAAGATTTTAAAGCTTATGTGTATGTTCTTTTCCTAACTAGAAATTTAAAAGCAGGACGTCAACTAGACAAAAGAGATTTTACAATGTAGTTGTACTACTTTTGATGAAGTAAAGAATCTGGGTAAACTACCACCATTAGTTTGTTTTAACATTCACATGTTTCAGCATTCCTGACCATATAGACACTCAGCCATTTTATAACCCGTTGGGGGAGAGATTTAAATTTAGTTTTTCTCTAGTAGCTGATTGGCTGTGATTACAGCAGCACTGGATAGTTGTGCGCCACCTTTGGGTTGTACTCTGAATCAGTGTGTTGGTGAAATGTTGCTCACTACAGAAACAGAAGAAGTGTGCAAAGAACGCATCTCTGAGGAGGTTTTGACATTTTGCTTGTGATGGACATGAACCCTTGTTGTCAAGGCAACAGTGGTGTGAAGAGGAACTGCAATTTTTGGGGATTTCTACTGTCCAGAGGACAACGTGTGTCTGCTGATTGTACCACATTGATCCAAGAGTTTCCTTCCCTCCAGATGCCAGAGAGAGTTTCCTTGAGCACTGACCAGGGCCGTTTCTAGCTTTTTGGGGACCCTGCCACTGACTACAGCTGCAGAGGACAACGAATCACTGACTGTTCTCATCATGACAAGATCTTGAGACAGGCTTGTCTCAGACTGTTCAGACTCTGAATAAATCATGCAATGATTTTACAGCATAACTGTGCAAGAGTTTTCCAGAGGGTGGTGTAGGACATTATGTTTAGTGTTTAAGAAGAGAGGCTGCTTGTTTAACGATGGTCTAGAATACTGAAAAGATGAATACTATTAATATCCTTTATTTTGCATACAAGAAATCTGATTATTATATCACACAGAATAATCTTGAAATATAAACTAGCTATGGGTAAAACGTGTGGTTGTTATACCATTGTTATAATGAACTGAAAGTAAATAGGGAAATAGTGTCTGGTTAAAGATGAACTGATTTGATAACCTAGAAAGGGTTAGTTATAGTGTGAATACTTCACAAAGTATTTACTAATGTATTTTGAAGAATAAATTAAAAAAAACACGAGTCCAGTTTTGTTTTTTAGAATTAAATTGTCTATTACAAAAAAAAAAACTGTTCACCTTAGGTCTAGCTTTAGACTTTGATAGTAAAGGAGTATTTAGGTTTATTTTTTATATATCTGACATTTTGTGTTTGAGTACTTGGATCGCCACAACACATGTAGTTGATTTTACCTTCGTCGTGGTCGTCATCGTTGGCCACTGAATCCGCCGTTTGTAGTCCTGCCCGAGTTTCTTTATTTTTAGCCGGTGTGTGCCGTGGCGCTGTGCACGATTCCCAGGTCGAGTGAAAGCTACTGAACTGGCTTCAGTAGCATTCCCTGGGTCGCGTCCTCGGCGTAGATCTCCAGAAGCGCCGACACCTCCTCATCATTTCTTGATGCTTGCCATAACTGCTTTCAAAAACAAACCCAACGCTCCGTCGGTGCGTTGGGATTTTGTAGCGAGGGAAAACAATGGCGTCTCCACACAACATTTTTCACAGTTGTACGGGCGTGGTTTGCAATTCGCCCAGCCAATCAGCACTGGGGCACTTTTGGGACACTTTGCACCCTCAGGAAAGTACGCTCTCTCAGCCGGCTCTAAAAATGGGGGTAAAAGTACCCGAGATTAAGTACGATTTTTGGTGTGAACGCGACATAAGGGGTACTCACGGAACTAAACGCGAAAAGTACGGTGAAAAGTACTCCGGTGTGAACGCGGCTCTTGAGTAAATGTACTTAGTTACTTCTCACCTCTGCTATGAACCTACGAAGTAGCTGTAGATTAGTTTTGTTGTGTCTGTCGGTTGTATTGAGTTATCTTGTTTTGTGTCAGCTGTAGTTGTGTTGATTATTTCAGCGACCCACCTGGAGAAGGAGCGCTGAGAGCAGCATGGAGGAGAACAAAGAGACCCCTGGAGCACAGGTCAGTGTGCACTTCATCACAATATATTCCTAATTCCAGCGTTTCCACCAGGCGGGCGTCTTGCCGTCATTTGACGAGAAAAGATCGAGAGTTTTTATCGCTTGAAATGACGAAAAGGTAAAAGGACAAAGACATCCCTCTGTTGGAGGGGCAAATGAGTCTGGTGGGATTCTTTTCACCGCCAGCAAAGTGTGTTCCTGTGACGGAAAGTGTACTGTCTGCGAGCCTTGACGGGGGGTGCTAGTGGAGCACGCGCGTGAACTGGCGAAACTGAGGCTCTGGTAAACTGTGGTAACATGAAGAGCCGTTTGGGAGCCGAAAGAGCCGGCTCTTCTTAGTGAGCCGAGCCAAATGATCCTACTCACTAAAAAGAGCCGGAATTCCTATCACTAATACGTAAAGAGATAGTATCTATAAGGGACGGCTCAATTCAAAATTCAAGTCCAGGGTTTCCCACACATAGACTTTACTTGGGCCGCCCAGGTTTAACGGCCACCAAAGTTTATTTGGCGACCCATTCATTATTATTTTGTTTGTATCCGTCCGCGAGCACGACGCCATCTGCAATCGATTTACTAGTGGACAATGATCCCTTGCTTGCTGTACCTGTTCGCTCTGCTATCGCGTGAAGGGTCTGCTAACAAGCGACCAACAGAAAGGTTCATGTTAATGTTGTTGCACCTCACAAATGCCTAACACTGCTATATCCCCAAATGAAAGATCACAACCTGTTTTGAAATATACAATATGAATGCACAATATAGTTAGATATAGGTTAGAACGCTGTTGTATACGATACGATAATACTTTAATTGTCAGATCAAGTCTGAAATATGACTTGCATCACAGCAGCTCCATGTGTAACATCAACAGACAAATAAGACAAACACAATACATGAGAAACAAACATGTAACATAACAGCAGGATCAGTGAGAGCTGCTCAAAGAGCCTTCAGCGTGCATCTGATCTGGATTCAGCTCTGTGTTTACTGAGAGGACTGACTGGAGCACAAAGGATGCTTCAGTCTGATTTTATTGAATCTCGATTAGATGGTAGCAGTTCAGATTCTCTGTTAGAGCATGCTTTGGGTCCCAGATGATGCTGTTGGAGCCTCTCAGGTTATTATGGTCTGTGAGTCAGAAAGTCTCTGACAGGGTGACCAACAATCTTTGAGCAGATTTCTAACAGGTGGAGCTGTTTTGCCGAAGTAACAACATACTGATACCGGTTAGTAAAAACCATGAACGAATGCTTTGACAAGTCTGCAGACAAGACGGCAGGCGAAACACCAAAATGCGTGTTTTCTGAATGGAGATCGGCTAAGCTAATGCAGTATATGCTCCGACCGTCCACAGAGACATAAATACACCAGCGACTGTATTCGCCATGACACAGACAGTCTGTGGTTTGTACTTGTTTAACTTCTGTCTAGTTTCTGAACAGATATGAGGAGCTGTGAGCTCTGAGTGCTAACAGCTAACGGCTGATGTTTTGGTTTTGTGTTTCGCATTGAAGATGACGTCACGGCTCCGCCTACACTGCTTTACTATAGTTACTACAATACAAAGAGAGATTCAGGCATTGTAGATTGTAGCCAACTTTCCGTGAAACATAATAAAGAGGCCTCAAGAAATTCATGACAGTACCTTGTGTATGTCCTTAGTGTGTCCACGTTGTTGCTCAATGAGCGCAGGTTTGTGAGAATGATGGATGGAAGTGGTGGCCGGCTGAATCTCCGCCGTAGGCGATTCTGAACGCCTCACGGCTGTAGCAGCGTAGAGGCCGGGGCTCCTCGCCATACCTGTTTGTGCTGTCACTCAGGTGTGTCTTGGAAAGTTGAATGGCCAGACATGGTCTGCAGAAGGCAAATGTAATCCACAGGATCAAAAGCATGGTCTCTCAAAATGACGTTTCATACAGACACAACAAAGTTTAGACAATAATTAGACCAAAAAAACTAAAACAAAACACAAGACGAACAGAGCATACTGAAGAGGCTTCTCAATTCTTAAATTTCCCCTCCTCGACTCCTATCCTCGTGAGTTAGTCCCGCCCACAGGAGATGCGAGCGGAGGAGTCGAGGAGGGGAGCCGAGGAGAGGAGGGGAAGCAGCAGGCGGTTAGAGAAATGAGAACTCCTCTCCTCTGAGCGGTCATTTTAAAGAGACATCCGTTAATGATGACAGGAGGCACAGCAGCACTCTGTCTGATGGACAGATGTGTTCATGACGACTTATATATTTACTTTTAATTCATTCACAGTGCGGTATGAGACAATAACAGGCTACAGATGCGGACATATACACACAAATATATTTATATAAATATATACAATTTAAAGTATGAGAGCACTCTCATAATAACGTAGCACAATCAGAGACTGGATATATCCCCCTCCTCTCTCTGGTCGCTGAAATGGGGAATTTAAATTACGGGCCAAAAGTTGTATTTACAAGTATTAAAAGTAAGCATAGGACACCAAACCAACTGAGACCCGTCTGTCCGCCGCATCTACGCACTGTACAACACGCACCTACACACTGTACCACACACACTACACACTGTACCACACGCACCTACAGCTCCTAAAGCATAATCAGGCTACAGCCGTATTTTATTATGTGAAGCACTAAATGGTCTTAGAAAAATATCGACTCTTTGTTTGTAGATATCTACTAAACTACAGCATACAAATACAGAGAGTAATGTAGGCCTGTTATACTGAGTGATATATATTTTACACACTGCTCTGCTTTCTGCACGGACCTCACAGCTGTTCTCACTGTAAACATCGCGTCGCGATGAAAGCAGTTACTAAAATAATATCCAGTGGATGCATGCAGAGCTGTCATTGGCTGAGATAAGTCCGGCCGTGCGTCACGCCTCCACCGTTCCCGGAAATGCATCCGCGGAGGAGCCGTGGAGGAACCATCAGTGTATCCTCGGTTATAGCTCCTCCAGAGAGCCTCCTCAATGCTCGGTCCTCGATGTGCATTTAGAGAAATTAGATGTCCTTCAACATGGCGCGCTGAAATTCATTTCCGGGTCACTACCGGAGGACCAAGGAGTCGAGGAGGGGAAATTAGAGTATTGAGATGCCTCTTAAGACTCGCAGTGACAGGATGCCATCTCCCTCTGTCTCCTGTATACCAGAGGTGGGAGTAAGTCATACATGTGCAAGTCTCAAGTTACTGGGGTGAGAGTCAAGTCCTACGAAATCCTGATGAATAACCCCAGTTTCCGCATTTAAATCAGTTAAAAGACAGTGGTTATGAAACTAGAGTTTTATTTTCCACATTAACAACAATGGAGAGTGGGGCTCTGAAATCATGAAACAGGTAATAGGGGGAATAATTGGGGAGTTTAGTGTGTGCGTGTGTAGAGGTGCGTGTGGTTAAAACGTAGCAGCCTGTGGTCGCTCTTTAGCTTTTCTAATGAAGGTAAACACAGTGAAGTAAACAGTAAAAGGCACAGCTCTTTGCAGCTGGTGCTGCTCTTCTCAGATTCTGCTGAGTTACACGTTACTGCCTCCTGGTGCTGCAGAGATTTCATGAAGTGAAGGAGGTTTTCCTTCTATAAAACAGCTGTGGGCAGCAGATACTGTGAGAGTCACAGACATGAATACATAGGTCAAGGCAGACTGGTTCACAGACTCTCCTGTTTTACCGATCCGGTGCTTGAACAAATAACTCTACACCCCTACACAAGTCAAGTCGAGAATTGTATCAATGTTATTCAACCAAGTCTCAAGTAAAAGAATATGTGACTCGAGTCAAGTCATGCGACTCGAGTCAAGTCATGTGACTCGAGTATACCTCTGGTATATACTGTGGTTAGAATGTTGCTGTATTACTGTATCAAATATAATACAAATATAATAAACACAAACAGTTGATAAGTAGTATTTTGTTAACTCAAGGTTTATATTAAGTGATTTTTTATTGTGTTAACTTGTGTATTTATGCTTTTTAGATTGACTTTCTCTCTTTCTCTGTCCGTCTGTTCTAGAAACTGAAAGGAAGAGAGAGACGTCACGGCTGTCAGCAATGTGACAAATCCTTTACAAGATCTGTAACTTTAAAGCGCCACCTGCGTATTCACACGGGAGAAAACCCGTACAGCTGTGAAGAGTGTGGGAAAACGTTCACTAGATCAGATGCTCTCAAAACACATCACCGTATTCACACTGGAGAAAAACCGTACAGCTGTGAAGAGTGTGGGACAACTTTCACTACATCAAGTCATCTCAAAATACATCACCGTATTCACACTGGAGAAAAACCGTACTGGTGTGAAGAGTGTGGGACAACTTTCACTACATCAAGTCATCTCAAAATACATCACCGTATTCACACTGGAGAAAAACCGTACAGCTGTGAAGAGTGTGGGACAACTTTCACTACATCAAGTAATCTCAAAATACATCACCGTATTCACACTGGAGAAAAACCGTACTGGTGTGAAGAGTGTGGGAAAACTTTCATTGCATCAAGTGATCTCAAATCACATCACCGTATTCACACTGGAGAAAAACCGTACTGGTGTGAAGAGTGTGGGAAAACTTTCACTACATCAGGTGCTCTCAAATCACATCACCGTATTCACACTGGAGAAAAACCGTACTGGTGTGAAGAGTGTGGGAAAACTTTCACTACATCAAGTGCTCTCAAATCACATCACCGTGTTCACACAGGTGAAAAACCATAGTGGTTTTAAGAGTGTGGGAAAACGTTTTCTTAAAGTATTCACCTTAAAGTCCACGAGCGAATCCACAGTGCATCGTTTTGAACAACTATGAGAGCCAAGCTAGCTGTTTCCTCCTCCTGATGTCCTGAGAGCTGTAGTTATATTTTAAGAGTCTATCTGAATTGAAGTCTGACTAACAGTTGTTTATGTTCTAACCAGCGTTCACACTATGTATCTTGAAAATATTTACGGTGTTTTCTGTGTTCCAAAAATAAAATGGCCTTGGAAACAGACTCGCAACCCTGCATATTTGTTGTGTTTTGCAGCATATTATAAACATGTCATTCCCTTATTTTCAAATACTACAGGTTGTGTAGTGATGTATTTGAGGTGTACTGTCCACATCGCAGACCTGAAGTCGTGCAGTCAATGTATGCGAAGTGTACAGGACCTTGGTCTCTGAGACTCAAAAAAGCCTTTCTCGCCTACTTGTCCACTTTGCATACCTGAGATCCTTCAGTCATTTATCTGAAGTGTACACTTCAGATAAATGACTGCAGGATCTCAGGTATTTGAAATGTACAAGGTCATATCTCCACAATGCACTGGGACTGGAAGCTCACACTTGAACCGTATAGTGACCACGATATCCATTTGTTTTTTGTCCTTTGTTAGTGATTCACTCATGGGGCTGACCGAGGAATAGACGGTTGTAGTTTGAGAGAAAAAATATAGAAATGTCCAGATGCGATTGAAAAGTAAGATAGTTTATTCCAAAAAAGGCAAAAATAAATAAATGTTTTTAAACAAACTATTTGTGATATAAACTGATACTTCAATGTTAAAGGCACAATAAAGAACCAAGCTGTGACGCTCCCAACCAGCAAGTCTAAAAACTGTTTGCTTCAGTCAACCGCACCAGTAGGCTGCAGCACCTCTCCTTTTATGCTGCAGCACCTCAACCTGCAGGAGTAACGCACTCAAATTAAATAATAAATAATATACACCCAGAGTTCCCGTTAGCCGGTAATTACCGGACTATGACCGGTAAAATATGCTGAAGACCGGCAAATCTAAATCTATCCGGTCAAAATGTCTGGTCAAAATAATTTCCCCTTTAGCGCAATACCGCTTCAGTTGCGCCACTTATGTGACAGACAAGAAGAGTATGTGACAGACAAGAATAGTCAATTCTAATGGCTAACACTTAATGTGGAGAAAGAGATGTCCTGTATGGGTTGATTGTGCGTTGATCTGTTGGTAATGCCTCGGGGTTCCGGTGGGCATGTAAACAAATGCATAATGCTGCTGCGCTATACTTTGCGGCCTCACCCGGTTGCATAGCGACGCTTATTGTTTAGGTGTCTTTTAATAAGCAGGTAGTCATATCATTAGCTAGAACTAGCTAGATCTGATCGATATGGACATAAACGTGAGTGAAGTCTAATCTGACGGGAGAGGGATCAGCTGCTGCTGACGAGTCGACACGCAGCTCTGCATGATCACCTGCAGCGGTGAGCGGAACAAAACACACACTTCAGGTTAGAATATCACACGTAGGCTAGCTATTTTAATTAGGCTACCTCTCAAACTAGCCTACCTAAACTAGTTATAGATATGTTTAGTTTTACTGTCGGGTCACTCATTACTGATCCGCGAGCTGCATGATACTGGCGGGCTGTCAGGAGAGGGAGAGAGCGCTCCGTTTATTATTCCCGTGTTATTATAAATTACTGTACACTTTTGAATAATGTAGTTAATCTACTATAATTAGTTTGTATAATATCGAATCATATCAATTTGTTTTAAAGCTCAATAAATAACAAAGAAGACCTTTGACCGGCACTTTTCTACTTTTGTCCGGAAGATTTTTGTTGACCGGCGGAACAATATTCTAACGGGAACTCTGATACACCACATAATCTCAGGCTATGTACTCTAAAAAGATAAATGAATATAATCTAAGGAAATGGCTCCTACATAACCGGCCTCTAATTGTATTTTGGAGTACCACAAAAACAATTATCAAATATACATTACATACAAAAAAAAGGAGCCTATAGTCAGGATTTCTATTCATTTCATGAATCCAGTCATCTATCAATATGAGTTGTGTGGTGTTACTCATCCTGTCTACATGATATCATCGTTCCATCAGCGGAAGAAGACTCTTTGCTGCCGTCACTCTTCACATTCTAACAGCAGACAGATCTTGGTAATTGGCCTCTCCAGCACACTGGTCTGTGTTTTTACTTTGACAGATCAAACCAGTCCTTTAGTGTCTGCCATAGCTTCTAGCACTCTTCCCAGGATCCAAGAGCTACGGGGAGCAGTAGGGTCAACTACCATTACTACATCTCCGGGTTTAAAGCTTCTCTTCTCCTTGCACCATTTCTGTCTTTCTTGCATGAGGGGTAAGTACTCCCGGCACCAGCGTTTCCAAAATAGGTCTGCCATGTATTGCACTTGTTTCCATCGGCGTCACGTACAGGTCGTTCTTGTCAAAAACTCCAGGGGGCAGAATTGGCTTGGTTTTTAAGAGCAAGATGTGAGTTGGGGTTAGAGGCTCCAGGTCTTGAGGGTCATTTGAGACTGTTGTGATTGGTCGACTGTTCAAAATTGCCTCTACTGTACCTCACATAAAAGGGTTTCTAGCCCTTCTTCATCCAAAGTCACACAGACTTTATCAGACGCTCCCATACTCCTCCATGGTGGGATGCTCCTGGGGGGTTGAAACTCTGCTTTATGCCCTTTTGCAGCAGAGCTTCCTGAATTCTGTGCTGGTTCAGAATGGAGAGGGCTTCCTTTTAACTCTCTGAGCTCCAACAAAATTGGTCCCATTGTCAGATCTTATATGTTTCACTTGACCTCTTCTGCATATGAATCTTCTCAAATCATCGATACATGAGTCTGTATCAAGTGAGCTGGCGACCTCAATATGCACAGCTCTGCTTGTCATGCACGTGAACAGCACTCCGTACCTCTTTAATGTGGTACGTCCTCTTTTGACTTGAATAGGGCCAAAGTAGTCCACACCAACATTGGTAAATGGAGGCATGTCTGGCTCAAGCCTTTCCTGTGGCAAGTCAGCCATCTTCTGCTCTCCAACTTTGGCTCTTTGTCGTCTGCACAAAACACAATCTCCCAATATTTGTCTTGCAGCAGAGTTGGCTTTGATTATCCAATACCTCTTCCTAACTTCAGAGAGGATGTGGTTTCTTCCTCCATGTCCAGTTCTTTCATGCATGTGCCTTAATATGAGAGTTGACACATGACAGTTTTTTGGCAGTATGACAGGGAGCTTAGTTTCTTCTGGCATAGCTGCCCTCCTCAGGCGTCCTCCCACTCTTAGCACTCCATCCTTTAACACTGGATCAAGCTTGTAGAGCAGGGGTCTCAAACTCAAGGCCTGGGGGCCAAATCCGGCCCGCGACTTCATTTTATGTGGCCCGCAAGAGCTTGCAAAGAATATAATACGTTTATTATACGGTTACATGCCACTTTACAGAAGCAGGTTGCCCATAAACTACATGTCCCACAATGCATCTCATTTTGTGACATGCGCACTGAAGAGACTTGCAATTATTTGCCCTAGAGTTCTGCTTTCAGACGTAGTTAATTACTAAGTTATTATCCTATCCGATAATAATCCAATTCAGAGGCAATAATGTAATATAATACATTATTTTATATATATATTATATATTTATATAGTTACAACTGGCCCTTTGAGTGCAACCTTTATGTAAATGTGGCCCGCGATGAAATTGAGTTTGACACCCCTGTTGTAGAGGCTGCCACGTTTTGTTGTTTGCAGTGCTGTCATTTCCTCTGGAAAATACTGTCTTTGGGTTTGGTATATGATGGAGTTTTCTGCCTTCTCAAGATCTTCCAGAGTAATGGTCTGTCCACCCAGTGTGGCCTTCATGTTTTCTATTTTCTGCTCAACATTGCTTTTGTTTTGAGCATCGGTGTTGGCGTCATTTAAAGTGGAAATAAGCTATTTTCTCCTTTGAACGAGCTGTTTCAAGCCTTTGAACTTCAGGATCCATGCTACTGCAACTTTCAGTTTTCTCCAGCTGGAGAAATGCATGAGTAGCTTGCCTGTAGGATTGTCTGTGACCATAACTGTGTTGACAATAGCATTTATTTTGACCTCTAAATCATCACAGGAGAGAGAGATGGATTCCAGGGTAAACTACACCTGAGTCAAATTCAGGGAAGGTGATTGTACTTTGTCAGACTTAATATTTATCTGTGGATACCCCCAACGTTTTTTTCTTATTCAAAAGAAGACCTTAACTTAGAGTATTCATTAATGTTTAAATAAAGCCTTATTAGTTTGTCTGTTTTGCACATCCTCCTATTAATATCTTTGGACGTCCTGCACTAAACTGTTTTATTGTAGAGATCACTACAGTATCTTCTTGATATTTTCTATTCTATATTTCTATCATTGACCTTCTACTTTCCCCCTATGAAAGTATGTACTCTTAATATTTTTTTCATCAAATATAACATAATTTCAACTAAATATAACATAATTTCAA